TTATTTTCTAGTAAGGGAAGAAATACAGCAGCTGCGCCTGTGAATCTTTGATGTCGATAGTACGATGTGTAAGAGTGGATAATTAAAATTTTTCGAGAGTGGGTGATCCACAGAAAATTTTTGACGAAGCTCCGAATTTTTTTTTGAAATCCTGAGAATCCAGAACTTTTCAGATTTCCATTTTTAACTCATCGTAGGACAATCTTGGCGGAAAGTCCCAATAAAGGTTTGTAGAGCTTGCTTTGCCCATTCAACAGTTCTCCTTTTGCACTCTTGAGGTTCGTATAGTTGCGGTGCCAAGTAGGCAATTTAGAAGCATTATTTTCTTGACAACGTAATATAAAGGTGTGGCAATGAAAAACTATCACAGGCAGGGCTCGGCACGAGGTGACTCTTTGAAAAAGCAAAAAACGAAGCCCTTCTCGTCTTTTGCGAATTTTTACGAAGCCCCCTTTGACCCTAGACCATAATCCCCTGAAAAAATCCTTAAAAACCTCCGAAAAACGAGTACACTAAAAAGGTCGCAATTTTGTGTCTTTTCGGCCGCAAAAACGCAAACCCCTTTGCTTTTTCCCAAAACGATATCCAGTTTGCTTATAAGCCACCAGTGCCAAGCCCTGATCATAAGTCCTAATTTAGCAGAAGCAACTTCGCTTTCCATACGCATACATTCACTTCCCTTAATTCAGACCTTATCTCTAATATCTTGCATTTTATGAAAAGAAGGCTGTATGATTCAGCGAATTTTAGCAAAAATAAAACATAATTTTTTTGAATCTCTGTGAGGTACAATCTTCAAGTAGAAAGTTTATACATAGATCTACCACTACTTTGGCTTACCTCACCTCCTAAGCTTCATCGGCCCCGAATTTTCTAAATTTTCTATTTTACAGAGGAACTTGCTGAGCGGTGCATGAAGTTTAAGAAGACATATGATAAAAACCACCACGAAGTAGAAAATTTTGATATATGCGGAAAGTGTATTTATTTCCAATATTTCGAAATCAGTCGCTGCAACGTCATCGCATTTGAAGGCTGGGTTTTATTATCAAGTTCAAGACATCTTCTTTTCCAAAGACCTAAAACCATTAAGACCAAAAGGGCTGCGTAATTTTATATGGTTGTGTATTGCCAACGCTATAGTCTTACATCATTTGATCTTGGCATTCCATTTTTGTGCTTCTTAGTGACCGAGAGGCTCCTGGATGATTCATGCCCTTTCCCAATAATTCAATGCATGTTCATGTTTTTTTTTTCAATAATTACACTCGTTAATCATTTACAACGAAAGTTTTCTATAATTTCAATTTTATCAAACTTTCGTAGTAGTAGCTTTCAGAATGAAAAAGGCTGGCGATTTTGGGTAAATGAAGATTGAATAAAGTTGGCTGTTCGTGTCGTTTTGCATTTAAAATTTTTGAAATTGCTGGTCAAGACCAAACTATCACATGGCATGAAATTTTTCAATATCTGACTTCCAGAAATTTGACTACATAACTGGAAATGGCAAATGCCTGAGTGATTGAAAAAGGTTGGGATAGTCAATTTTATCATTCAAGAGTTTGCAAATCCCTCTCCGTAAAAAATTATTCATATAGTTTTAAGATAAACGGCAGAAATTCTACAGAAAATCTCAAATTCTTTCAATTGAAAGGTATAAAGAAGGTTTAATTGATCCTCTAAATGTATCAAGTATGCAAATCTACTCTTCGTTTTTATCTATATCTTCTATGGATCAAATCGCGCACATTTCTAGCACCTTCGGTCTTAATACAGTGCTGGCCAAAACTATAAGTCCACTCTGAAAAGTGCCGTAGCTCATCTGCTTCTCAACAAATTGGTCTGAAATTCGGTGCAATTGTGTGTTTAATAGGCCACCATCATAACTAGAAAGGATCCCGTTTTTGTTTGATTATTCAGGAAAAAATCAAAAATTTCGAAAAAAGCAGGCTTGAAGGTTGGCCAAAACTATAAGTCCACCTAAGGTTTCTGCCCACTAAAGTAATTCTCGGGTCCCAAAGTCTTTTGTGCATATACATAGTCAAAAGTCAAAACAGTCGCTTTAGTCCAGCTATGTCATACCTATATAAAAAACGCTTATCTGCTTTTTTTTTTCGCTTAAAAATACTTTCATGGGTATTTTGTTCCCAGAGAATGTGTTTTTATAGTTGATTCCGCAGTTTTTTGACTGGTTTGGAAGCTGTAGGGTCCACCTATCTTATAGATGCTTAGCGAAGTGAGAAGTAAAAAATTCTGAGTTTTCATGCTTAAGCGACCCAACATAAGCGCACCTGACATAGACCTAACCGCAGGCCTGCGCTCAAATTTCCCTCAAACTCTTGCTGCAACCTCCTCATAAGCGCAAAGTAAAGTAACAGCATTGTTGGACGCATGAGAGTCAGGATGCAGTGGTTACAGATTTCCGCAGGCCCTAGCGCAGACTAATGAGGAATTCATCCTGAAAAAACTGGTTTGCAAAAAGCCTTGCACTTATTTTTGGTTCTGACCGTAATACTCATGTGAGTCACAAGGCAACTACAATACAGGGTGTTTTCACTATCTAGCAGCTGAACTGCGGCAAAAAATCAGGAAATATACCACTAGGTAAGTACCCTAATTTCACGCGCATAAGGCGCGGGGGATTTTTTTCCAAAATCGACCAGCCCAAATACGCCAAAGAACTTCGTAACCAAAGGACCCCATGCCTTGCTGTATATTGCTTAAGAGAATCGTACGGCATAAGGATCGCTTTCCCAAATAGTTTAAAGCGACTGAGAGGCTCAGTCGAAAAATCGAAAAAGGTGCACCTTGTACGCGTGAAATCAGGGTACTTTGGGATTGCCTAAATATTAGGTCGTTCCGAAAGTAATGTCGCTTTTTTCGAATAAACGCCACATTTCATGGAATCAAGGTTTTCAAGAGATCTTAGGAGCATTCGATGCATCATTTCATCCTCTTTCTAATGGTTGTAATCTCATTGCATAATTTTCATTGAGCTTTCAAAAAATTAGCAAAATCTGCAACTCATGCTTTTTGCCATGGTCAAGTTCGGCAATTTTTAAAATTTTCTGTACTTATTCTCCGAAGAAGTACAAATGGCAGGTAGATAGAGCAAACCCTATAGGAAACAGAGTAAATTTTTTCCTTTCCCTTAGCTTGCTTCTTAGAGTTTCTGGAATCAGTTTTAAAATGCCATCAAATTCCATATTTGGTCAACTCAAACCTCACAGAACAACAACCGGCAAGCGACTCGGGTGTTAATCGACGCAGCTTTTTCTCCTCTTTTTACCAGTTGTTTTTGGTTTCCGATTCATCAAGTTTTCCGAAATAAAATCATCATAATTCAGGTTTTGCAGGGCGCCTCCGGGTGTACCCGGAATTTTCGAAAGTTGCTAATCGGAAGCGGTAAACGCTCATTTGCTTTGTAAAATCAGTGTAAAACTATAATCCACTTTTGTAAGTTTCAAAATCCGAAGATTTATTGGTGTTTGATGCATTTGTGTCTGAGACGAGTCTGCTGAAATTCGGTGGTTCCATCAAAAAATCTATACAGAAATTATGACGAGCTCTGAAAAGTAGAAAAAAGTTGTATTGTTTCCCGTAGGGTTTGCTCTATCCATACATAACTTGGACTCCATCCGAGGGTTGTTATAAAGATTTAGAAAAATTGTGAAACTTGACCTTTTCAAAAAGCATGGGTCGCAGATTCCGATAATTTTTTAGAGGTTATCAAATTTTGTAAAGTGGTTTTATAACCATTAGAAAGAGAATGAAATGCTGCATCGAATGCTACCAGAATCTCTTACACATCTTTGTTCCACGAAATGTGGCGTACGTATAAAAAAAAACGACGTTACTTTCGGAACGACCTAATATTATCATTGAACCGCGAAGAGTTATGCTTTGAAAACGAAGCAAAATGTGACTTGGCGACGAAGCAAAATGTGACTTGGCGAACAATCGTAAGTATAGTGTACTTACTTCTTTTTATGTAAGTAATGCTTCAATCATTTTGAGCATACAAAAAAAACATAAACCAATTTTGAAGGCAAAAATGTGAGCGAACGCTTGCTGTTAGGTCTATGTCGGGTGCGCTTTAAGTATGAAAACTCAAATTTTTTCTGGTTCTTACTTCGCTAAGCATCTAAGATAGGTGGAGCCCTATAGCTTCCAAACTAGTCAAAAAAACTGCGGAATACATAAAAACACATTCTCTGGAACAAAATACCCATGAAAGTATTTTCTAATGAAAAAGCAGGTAAGCGTTTTTATAAAGGTGGTCCTTGTAAAGTCACAGCTGGCTGAAGCGGTTTTGACTTTTGATTATGTATATGCACAAAAGACTTTGAGAGCCGAGAATTACTTTAGTGGACAGAAACCTTAGGTGGAATTGTAGTTTTGGACAACCTTCAAGCCTGCTTTTTTCGAAATTTTTGATTTTTCCCTGAACAATCGAACAAAAAGGGGGACCTTTCCAGTTATTGATGGTATTCTGTTAAACACACAACTGTACCAAATTTCAGATCAATTCGTTGAGAAGCAGATGAGCTACGGCAGTTTTCAGAGTGGACTTATAGTTTTGGCCAGCACTGTTTTTTTTTTTTGAATTGAGTGAAATTGCTGAGAACTCACAGCATTTATGCACCCATGTGACGAGATAGTAAAACTCAAAAAAAAATCTTGAACCAGGAAAAAAATCAGTAACTGCTCATGATCTAACAACTCAGTTTTTTTGTTATTTAGAATGAGCTGACTCTCCATGTACATAGTCCTTCGTTTTTTTCTTTCTAACTTTTTCCTTCCACAGATGTTCTTGAATTTTTTTTCAAAAAACTGGCCTCTTATGAACTCATTGTAAGTGTTAGAATAGACGTAGACGAAATTTTCAAGAAGATCAATGTAATTTTCGCTCGTCTTTAATTTCCGTCTAGCCGTCACCCATTCTGCTATTTCACTGTCATTTTATTGTATTATTGTTTATTGTATTTAATTGTTTTTAGATCAGCTGCGGTGAGGTATCTTTAAAGGACCGACGCCTACTCGCATTGAAGGTAAGACTTTTTATCCAAAGCTTGGCACAGGTGGCTTATAAGCAAGCTGGATAACGTTTATGGGACAAAAGCAAAGGGGGATTTCGTTTTTGTGGGTGCTTATTTAGTCGACGTTTCGTTTTTTAATCGATTCAGATATTTCGAGTAAGGTTCGAAGGCGACTTCGTTAAATTTCGCGAGAGTCAGGGGGGGCTTCGCTTTTTGCATTTTAGATAGCCACCACGTGCCAAGCCTGTTTTTCACCAACTAAGAATAAGCTAGGTAAATTTCTCAAAGCTACCTAGTCTCAGGGTGTTAAAAACACTCGCTATATCATCCTATAGGAGATATAAAATGAATTTTTTGGCGAAGAACTACTCAAAATAGCTCGATCGGTGTCCATGGCTGTACGATGTATAGTTGGCAATACGGCTGGAAGTTCTCCCGGGGGCGGCCACACCTTTTTTATATTCATAGATACGCTCAGCTTTGTTTATATATGGAGTAGTCGATGATGTTTTTACCCCTGCATAGCATTTCATTACCTATGCTTAGACCAGCGCAAAATAGCTATGCTTGGCGTTCTCGCAGCTACGGCTCTAATGTGAGTTTTTTTCGTACCTGCAGTTTTTAAATTGCTCAAAATACCTTGATACAAATCTGGATGTTCTGGTGAAATAACTTGATGATTCACAATCTATTGTTAAAAATTGTAAATGATCTTCAAGCAAACAAAATCTATTTTGCAAAATTAGTAGAGCTTCAAAAATCTTATTATGCTTTATCAGAATGGCAATTATAATCATCGAAACCGTTTTAACAGCATTTCTGATACTTCCGACGGCCATTCCCTTGACCTGAATGCTTCAGCATTTGAATACTTGAAATGTGTTCGCAAACTTCTCTCGTTTTTTTCTGAGGTACTCCATCTGCTCACAAATGAGGAAGAATATGCTTGTTGGGTTTTTTGTGAGCCGCTCTGACGTTCGCAAATTCTCGAACAGCCATACAAGGCGCTTATGTTCTGCACTTGTAATTATGCGCAGATGCGCTTGAAAAATCCACAACAAGGTATTCTAGAAGCTGTCAACCAACTATCGTCGAGTGATGATTGCTTGACTAGGCATCCTTTCTTCTTACTGACGATGAGATTTGTAAGATATTGAATGATAAGTAGCTTCGATAACTTTACGAGAAGAAAATTTCTGCTTGTATAGGAGAGGATGGTATGAATAAGTCTCTATCATAAACTTTAGAGAAGTTCCACTTTGGAGGGAATATTTGAAATGGCTGTTTGGAAGTATAGTCTTTACTGCTGTCCCGTGTCGAAAAAACAGCTATGTGGAATTCTTTTTTTCATCATTTGAAACTCGCTGCTAAGATATTTCTAGGGTTTCTTTTTAGTAGGCTGGCCATCTTGGCTAAATTTTGAGACTTGTACGATGATGCAACTTGAACATAATCATCATTCTCGCACAAATATGCCAAGGCGCCAAAGGACAAAATTAAATATATTTCTTTGGGCTTGTGACATGTAGGAATGTCAAATAACATGAAGAATGAAATGTGCTAGTTTCAAAGATGAAAATTTTCTGTACGACAGTTGCCTTTTGCTTCATTTTTCGCTAATGATCCAGCTGATAGAACCCTTTTGAAAAGCTAATCTTATCACAAATCATTGGCAATTCTAGTCGTTTTCCAGTCATTGAACTGGTTCCAGAAACTGTTCCACGTTATCATTCCCTTGTAGATATAAGGGAGTGGTACTTTTCCTGACCTTTTGTCTATTTGAAAAAGTGAATTGCAGCTCACTTGTACATGATTCTCCATGTGATAACCGCAGCAGCGTTTTACAATGCTTTCGGAAATCGTGATTACACCATTTGAAAAGCTTTATAAGCTCGTAAATAGCTGAGTAATGAAATCAGCGGGCGTGAACCCTGGTACACCACTTTATTAATTTTTTTGGAAACTTTTTTATAACACGACTAATCCCCAACGACGCTGTACGCTGAAAGTCCTTCCAAAATCCTATAGTAATGAGAAGCGATGGGTGATTCATTCCATACTGTAAAGTTAAGCTGAAATCACCTCTTCAAAACGGCACCTGAAGTTGGGCAAAATACTTTTTGGAAAGTGTACTTACTTTTGGGACAAGCTGTATGCAGTGGGTGAGAGATTGAGTAAATGGCTTTTGTGGAAGCACAATTTTTACTACATAGGCTCAGTTTTCGGTTTTTTATTAGAAATCGAACCACATTGGCAGTGTGTTGTTAAAACAACTTCATTCACTAGCAATAAGCTGTGAGCAACAGTCTCAGCAAATGTTTATGCTGCAGCTCCCGAGAACATGAATAGAATTAGTTTGATATTGAAACTAGCAGCTATAGTCGTCCTCCCCCCACTAGACACCTAGTGGACGAAATCGAATTTGAATTGGAGCACGCCGGCATCGGCAGAGCGCGGCACCGTCAAATGCATTCAAACTAACACAGTTTTCTTTTGTGTTTCACTGTCGTTGCATAGTGATTTCTTTCTGTTTTAATGATGGTTGTGATCAAAATTGAAGGATTTTTTTGCTATGCGATGTTTCGTAATGCTATGCTCGTTCCTTCACTCTGTTTTCAGGAAAGGTTGGAAAAACGATGCATATGGGGAGTTTTTGACACGAAGTATTTGATGAATCACCACTTCGAGACCTACCGAGAACAATTCCACCAAATTTCAAACTTGGGCGTTTTTCCAAACTCAACTTGGAATCGTAGTCAAAGAAACGAGCATAGAAGCACGATCCATTGCTCAAACAAAAGCAACAATTTCAGTACGGATTGAGAGAATGTCAGCATTCGAACATGAGGTTGTATCGTCGGGAAAACACAAAAAAAATTGTTTGAGATTGAAGTGACAGCTGCAGGTGCCGCGCTCTGCCGCAACCTGCGTGCTCTAGTTCAAATTCGAATTCGTCCACTAGGTGTCTAGTGGGGGGAGGATGACTATAGTAAACATTGCTGACGATAATCTGCGTATTGACCTGATACCGTAAATTTAGATTGCACATAACTTTCGTCACCACATTGATTTTTATTCTTACAAATTACTTCATCTTCCTCTCATTTAACCCATACTCTCTTTTATATAAGGTGGATTCAAAAGTTCTTTCCGTTTTTTCAACCTGTCATAAAAACATTTGGAACTAAGACGGGCACTCTAAGAATGTCAGACGCAGTTTTTCTTCCTCTTTCCAGCAGCCATGTTTTGGGACCATTGGCCTTGGTAGTTTCGAAGATAGTTGCCGAAAATTCAAACCCATGGTATTTATCATGCTCAACTTCGGCGATCTTTTAAAATCTTAATTTGGGCTTTTGGAACAGCTTTCATAGCTGTTATATAACGTAAACAAAGTATTAGGGTGAACGGTAAAAAATGGGACAGCCTGATTTTCACTACATTTTGGAATTTTTTGTTTCGGGCAACAGCAAGTAAGCGGCAACTTAAACGTCGCTTACATGGGCGACCTTCGCTTATTATTCTGACAACGCGTTAACGCTCCTCTTCCACTACCCTACACGTGGCGCCGTGAAGAACTCGAACAGGGTTTTTTGAACAATCCTCAATCTTGCGCTGTTATACCGTAAAGTCGTAAAGCAAGTGACATACCATTCGAAAGAGCTTTTCATGCTCTTTCGAACGGTATGTTAAATGCTGAGATTTCTTTTCAATTTCAGAAAAAAAAAATCGAAAAAACCTGAAAAGTAGCCATTTTTAGTGCAACAAAAAACCAAAAAATCATGTTTTGCCCTATATTTTCCGAAGATTGATAAAATCTGAGGTATGCTGCATATGTATGGATAGAGCGTAAAAAGCTCTATCAGATGATATCTAGAAATCATGTGTTTACCTGCAAAGAATTGAATAACGCGTATCTTTATTCCCGAAGCTGTTAATGGGCATATCTCCTGACATTAAGAGTTAAAGCCACCACGCCGTCGTGAGTTTGGTGACTCTCCCACCACCCTCTCCAGCAGTGGTACTTTGGGTGGTCTCACATGTTTCACTGCGCCGATACTGCTCAAACTTCAAAATTTCTCGAAGTAACTAACTTTGCATTTTGGCAATTATAAAAATTATCAATCATATAAATGACCTTATATGGGTTCTATCTGAAAGAGAATAATTTATTCTAATATCCATCAAAATTGGAAAGTTCAGTCACTTTTCTTCCTTGAGAAATCTGCAATTATTCTCAAAGTGTCCCATTTTTTACCGTTCACCCTAATACAATGCAGCGAAATTTTTTGGCTTCTAGAGCTGGCTTTCCAGAATTTTCAAAATTATATTTGTAACAACTATCAAATTCCACTTTTGGTCATCCCAACAGTCACAGAACATCAAACTGCGCACAACTAAAATGTCATTCAATGCAACTTTTTCTCCTCTTTCTGGGATTTTCTCTTCTCTCTTCGGCGATGAAATTATCATCGTGATTTTGAGCCCGCTCCAGGCTGTGTCCACAAAATGTCAAATTTGATATTTCGGAGCGGCAAGCGCTCTGTTGCTTTGTAAAGTTAGTGTATAACCATAATCGAAGTTTGCAAGTATCAAATTCAGACGATTTGCTAGTATTTGGAGCCTTTGTGTATTTTGCAACTTCGCAAAATTGAAGACTTTTGGAAAAGTCATCCTGAAAAATACTAAGGAGCTAATTGAAGATGCGAGAAAATCGCCCTGCATTGCGCTTTGTTTACGCTATCTAGCATCTGTCAAAGCTTTTCCAAAAGTCCAAAATGAAGGTTTTGAAAAATTGCCGAAGTTGGGCATGGAAAAAACCATGGGTTTGAAACTTTGGCAATTATCTCAGAAACCACCAAGGCAAATGGTTCCAGAACATGACTGTTGGAAATATGAGTAGAAACTGCGTTTAGTAGTCCTTAAGCATTTGCCTATCTTTATTCCACCTGTTTTTATGACAACTTGAAAAAACGGAAAGAACTTTTGAACCGACCTAATATTTTGAGAAAGTG